GGCTTTCGCGAATGCCATCTTCCAGTACAACGCGCCACTACAATGGCTTTCGCGGTTAACATCTTTTAACACTAGATATACCACCATTTTCAGTATACTTATTTCTACCACACTAGTCAAAATGACTGGTGTATTAAAAGAAATGCTTTTTGAGGGTTCTAGTTTTTATTTACTCTTAAAAAAAAAAATTCCGATGTGCTAGATTAAGTTTCTGTAGGCATAGTTCCCACTACCGAAAACCATAGTCTGTACCTGTCGGTGGACTATGGGGTGGATCCTTATGCTATTGGTCAGTAAGATTTGTAAGCTTCTTCTCTCTCAAAAAGTGGTGTAGGTGATTTCTGATATAAAAGACATAGAAAGAAATAAAAAAGGCAGTCGCAGTCGTAGAAGTAAAGCAGTCTCAGTCGTAGAAGTAGAGCGGTAGTCACAGTAGCGGTCGTAGAAGTAGTTATTCATCAGTCATAACAGTCGCAGTTGTATTATAAGTCGTTATCAGTTGTAAGAATACCATCGCTCATCTAACTTATTACCGTAAGATTGTGAAACTAATATTGTACTTTTTCTAATACCTGTTTTAAATAAATCTTATTAGTAGGATTAAACTGGGTGTATGTTCACCACACACCTCTAACCCTAAAAAATTTCCCTACATATATAATAATATTTATTGTAGTTCGCTGATAGAAATATATGATAGTTTATTTAATTATTATGTCGAGCGGTATTTACAATAGTTTACAAAAAGTGGCGTGGTTACAAAAATACAGAGTACAAAAGAGTTCCAAAAGCAGTCCGACTGACTGACTGACTGATAAATTGACTGATTTGCAGAATGACTGATATAACAGATAATACACAGACTGATATAACAGACTGATTAACAAAGACTAAGGACAGATACAGACGGATATATACAGACAGATAGCGGATATACAGATAACAGATTTCTTTCTTTCTATCACATATTTATATCAGAAAAGTGCTACACCCCTTTGGAGAGAGAAGGAAATTATGAATCTTATTGGCCAATAGTAGAAGGATCCACCCTCCATAATCCACCGATGGGTACAGCTTATGTTTTTGGTAAAGATCGTAGTGGAAACCATGCATAAAGGAACTTTGTTCTAAAATAACGGAATATCATTTCTTCTTATAGTGTTGCATGTGTTTACATAGAAATCCGAACCCACTCGAAGGACCCGATACTACACAATGGTTTTCGTCGCGTCACTATGTTCCGATAATTCTTAAATTTGTTTAGTAATCTGTTGCCCCTCCAGAATATTTCCTTTAATCTCTGAGTGGAGTTTTCTTTCACTAAGATCGATAGCGTATTTAAAACAGAAAATAAAATATAAAGAAAGAACTAAATATTAGTTTTATCGTCTATAATATTGCCGGGAATCGAAACCTTTTTTTTTTTTTTTTTAAGTTTTTATTTGTTCATTGAGATACAGTATCTTACAATAAGTGGTACAAATAAAACTATTAACAAAAACCATAATATTAGCTGTCTAAGAAGATTAGGCAATAACTTGACCCGCTTAAGGGGGTAAGCTCGCTATTGTGCGATAACTTAATGTTAAAAGATTATATAAATTTTTTGTTAATTAATAGTAGGAGACAAATCCGCCAATGGTTACTTGCTATAATATAGTGTTGATACGTTACGAGAAAAAATTAACCATAAAAAACTTGCAGTGTTATAAACAAATATATTGACATTGATTAAATTAAAAAAAAAGGCAAAAAAATAAAAAATAAATTGCATCGGCCGGGAATCGAACCCGGGCCGCCCGCGTGGCAGGCGAGCATTCTACCACTGAACCACCGATGCTTGTGACAGAACTATTTGCGACAAGCTTATCAGTGAGAATATTAATCTAAATTTATCATTTTTATACAGTGTTATAAACAAATATATTGTAGGGTTCAGATTGTTACTTTTTTCACATATTTATATCAGAAAAGAGTAAAACCCCTTTGGAAAAGGAAAGAGATTATGAATTTTATCGACCAATAGCAAAAGGATCCACCCCCTATAATCCACCGATGGGTACAGCTTATGTTTTTGGTAAAGATCGTAGTAGAAACCATGCATAAAGGAACTTTGTTCTAAAATAACGGAATATCATTTCTTCTTATAGTGTTGCATGTGTTTACATAGAAATCCGAACCCACTCGAAGGACCCGATACTACACAATGGTTTTCGTCGCGCTGCTATGTTCCGATAATTCTTAAGTTTGTTTAGGAATCTATTGCCCCTCCAAAATATTTCTTTTAATTTCTGAGTGGAGTTTTCTTTCACTAAAATCGATAGCGTATTTAAAACAGAAAATAAAATATAAAGAAAGAAATAAATATTAGTTTTATCGTTTACAGTTTAATTATTAACAGATCTCAAATGTTACTTGAAGTAGAAATTTTGAATTGAAATGGCCCGACTAGTCAAAATGACTAGTCTGGTATATACCTAGTGTTAAAATATATTATACCTAATTTTATTATTAATTATTAAAGTAAATTAAAGTATATGTGCACTATTTCTTTGAGAAAAAATTATAATTTCATCATGAAAAACTTAATTAAAATGTACTCGCTTAGAGAACAGCCATTATTCGTCACGCATCGTAGTTTTATCGTTTACACGTAATCCTCGTTGAACCCTGCCGTGCAGAGAAACAGTCTCGCGCAACATTCAGCTGTGTCGAAAAGAGGTTAACATGTTTCAGGTTGTCTGATTTTGGTCACATATGTACCGTTTTGTTCTATAATTTATTACCACTTTAAAAATAGCTTCATAATACCTCTTTTATAAAATTCTTAGTCCCCATTGATGAAGAAAATCCTAGTGATCGATTTTTACAATCTTCTTTTAATGCCAATTTCTTATCACTAAGGAAGTTTTGCAATATAAGAAAAAGAAAAGACAGTAATCGCTTAGTGCAAGGTCTGAACTATATGGTGGGTGCATCAAAACTTTCTAATCAAGTTCCTGGAACTTTTGAGGTGTCACCATAAACGTGTGTGTAAACTGGCATTGTTCTGGTGCAACACAACATTTCTCCTGTTGGTCAACATTCTGGCTGTTTCTGGTCAATCGCTTGTTTAAACACGTTGAATGCCACATCAATTGTACAGGGATTAATTGTAGCGCCACGATAAATTTTTTATTATGTGATACAGTCACCGGTAGCCCCCATGACGTCACTGCCATGTTGAATGCCGGTCACCAGTGACCCTCGTGGCCATTCAACGTATTAAACGGTCCAGTTGTTGAAAGTAGATATTCGAATTTAGTGTTTGGCTATATTTAAGCAACCCATAATTAATAATTCCTTTCCAGTCCCACTAAATGAAGAGCAAAACCATTTGAGCTGCTTCATCGTGTTTTGACCATGATCGTTTCGCACAATGTTGTCATATGTGATCCATTTCTCATCCTCAGTGTCACCACTTGTTTAAGAAATGGGTCGATTTGATTCTATTTAGCCAAGGCTTCGCAGATAGAAATTCGATCCGTCATGTTATTTTTATGTTAATTGGTGTGGTACCCAAACATCGAGCTTTTTTTTGGAATCCATTTTTGTGCAAATGGTTTAAAACTGTTTTATGATCGATCTTTTGCTTCTGGATGATGCTACGGTCTACCTAAAATGTAAGATGAATTTTTAATATCAAAAATACCTGAAAGAAATCTAATTGGCTGTTACAGTATCGGAATCATAAAAACATCATTCTCAATTTCAGCCTTGTATTTGTGTTTTTATAAAAAAAAAAAAAAAAAAAAAAAAAAAACTAAAATGTACCGAATTTTCTCTTTTGTTGACTACCATTTTGAACACCCTGTAACTCACAATTGAATGGACCAAACAAAAAACAATACAAGAATTTTTTGTAGCTTTAAATGTCACCTTTCCAACGAACATAAATCTGAAATTATTTGATCGATGTGTTATGAGATATCAATCACTTAAGTTATCAACCGAAAAAATATAATGGATTTCTTTTTCCCCAACCTAATATATCGAATATACGAACGATATACGACGAATAAGTTCATCGTCTAGTGCACCCAAGTCCAATTAGTAACGCAGCGAAACTAATTTACATTCGCGAAAGCTTTTGAAAAGAGGTCGAAAGCTAAAGCAATGTTCTGTATCATCCTGCTGTGAAATATTATCCTTCCTTCTTTAATAATTAATAATACAGTTGGTACACAAATGGTGAATGAGTATGGTAATAGAGTGAGCCACTATATTGGCGCGTCGTTCAGAGAGATGTTAAAAGTATCACATTAAAATGCTAAGCTTTATGCAGTATGAAGTAATAGAGTGAGCCACTATAGTGGCGCATCGTTCAGAGAGATGTTAAAAGTATCACATTGAAATGCTAAGCTTTACGTACTTCAACTTGTGGGATATCATCAACGAACAAGATAGGAATCTGTTTGATGCATAACCTGTAAAATATGTTAGCTAACTAGAAATACCGCATTATAAAATGAGAAATTTGTATTTGTTGTTGGGATGCATCTCTGTTCGTAACGTTTAAACCATTAGACGAATTTAATCCGGGATTTTGATTGGTTGCTTATAACACAACGTGCTGCTGCTATTGCGGTCAACGCATTTTCAAATTATTATATCTCGCGGATGGAATTTTGGATTTTCGCAATGTCATTGCTTATCCTTTTTAATCAAATTCGTTAAATCAAATAATAAACGTAATTTAGATATTGATTTTAAACGAACAATTACGGAATAATAATAATAAACGGTATAACTAATTATTAATTACAATCTAAATTTGATGAGATTTTCGAAACGTAATCGCTAATTGAAAGTCAAAAATGTGTTGCATACGTTGTTAACTAGTTAACTGTGGCGCTCCGTTTTGAAAGTGCGCACCGCTGTGTGTCCCATAAATAATTGACTGATGACGGGTATACTTGTCAAACTCAGTTAACTGATTGAATGATAATTTTTGTTTTCAGATACCGTCGCAAGATGTAAACTCTCATTGCCTGTGCGTAGCCGGTGAGGTTTATTGTTGGTGGCAAAATTATAATCCGAGTACAGACTCTTCTATGGGGATTGGTGGTGGTGGTGGCGGTGGTGGTGGTGGTGGTAGTGGTTCTGCTTCGTCATTATCAACAACGACGATAGGAAGCAATTACACACCCATGTTGGAATTAAGTACGGACACTGCCGATAGTTCTGAAGCTTCCGGTGATCGGGTTGATATAAATTCGACCTACTCGACTACGACAACACCGTCTGGCCCAACAACGTGCCTCGTCATGGGTACTTTTAATGTTTTCCTTAGTCCGTTCGCTAGACCACTTGAACACTGTGTGTGTAATCATAATAATGAGCCATTATCGGTTATTTTGAATAAAGTATTAAAGATAAGACTTTTTTTTTTAAATATCATCTTTAAGGCATAGAAAAACAAAATTTAGGTTTGGTTTTCATGCATACCAAAAAAAAAGAATACAAAATATTGTTTGAATTATGAATTGGGTAATTTTCATAATGAACAAGTTTTATTATTAAAATTGAACAATATAATGCAAAAAAAAGGCTCCTGGGAACCGTGTAAGAAAAAAGAGTTCATGGTCTCGAATAAGTTAGAACACATTAACACTAAAATTGTTGGAAAGTTACTAAAGGTTTTCTCTCTTATTCCCTTTTGATTGCAGGTAGGGAGTATCGAGAAGGTGAGGTACTGCCACATTCGACCGGAAACTGCGTAGAATGTAGCTGCGGTTCTGAAGGTCGAGTCGAATGTTCTCCTAGAGATTGCGTACCTTTAAGGCCCGAGATACCGGTTGCACCAGATATACCTGAACCACCTGGTGCCGATTTCGAAGTTTTTGATTTGGCACGTGACCGAGGCATCGACGAGGGATTTTAATAAGCTTTCCCCATTGATTTTTTTTTCTTTACCCTCTCTCCTTTATTTCGTCGCGTTCGATGCAACGATTCTCATTTCGAACAATGAACAACGATATTATATTATTCATTAATTTTTATTGTTAAGTATAGAAAATGTATTAACCCTAATAGAACATATATAGATAACAATGAGTTTAGGGTTGCGTCAAAGTTGAGAAAAAAGTGCTTTAAATTATTATTTCATTCTAAATATCCGCTTTAACCGTTTGAGCCCAAAACAGCGTGATCGCGCTCGTGAGGATTTTATATCGAGAAAACCCAGCAAATTTTGAGTGTTGTGGATAAATTAGGGTGCATCACAAATTATCTAAAGTCGATCGCATAAATTTATAACACAAGCACAAAATAGAGCTCCTTTTAATGTAAATAATACATTTTACAGTAGGTAGAATAATGCTATAATAATGCAATAATTAAAGTATTGTACTATATACAATAATTATAAATATATAATATATATTATATTATTATTATAGAAAATACTAATTTTTATTAGATTGTTTTCTTCTTAATAATTTTTATTGAATAAAGTTGGAAATATTTATAAAATTTTGACAGTATGCATAAAATAATACAGATGCATTTTATAAAATAACGAATTACAAATTAATAATATTTTTGTTTCGTGAACAAACAATTTAAATAGAGTGTAACATTTATAATTTGTAACATCAGTGTTTATTAAAACATATTGGATAAATTCCATTTTTATATAGCAGGAAAATTAAATTTGATTTTTTATTGCATTTTTGGTGTTGCAGATTACGCACTGTCGTAAGTTTGGTTATGGCAATTTTACTAAACCAAATGTTCTTTTTTACATAACTATGTGTGCTTGCTTTTCGTTCATCCACTGACACTCAATTTCAAAAATAATATTCGACATAAAATAAAATAAGCGCTATCGCGCTGCATTGGGTCTTTTCGTACTCATTTAGAGAAATCGCAAGGTTGCGCCTTTTGGGATTCTTCGACAATGTTTTTTCAATACACCCTGGGACTCAAACGATTAAAAAAAAAGAGATACGAACAAAAAAATCTGCGGCGCCTTCTCTCAATCGTGAGAACGTGCCTTTCCATTTCTTTTTTTTTCTTTTTTTATTCATCTCAAAGATAGAACAAACATTTTTTACGTAGAACAGCCTACCTTCAAATTTTTCCAAAAAATCAAATCGTGTTCTATCACCTATTATTATTATCATTATTATTATTATTAGATCATACCTAATGCTTACTTTTGAAAAAAAAAGTTTAAAAAAAAAAAAAATACCGAAAATAGTACGAGAAACGTGTTTCCATTATTTTGCAAAGGAAAGGAGCTTTTTTTATTCTCCTTTCCAAATACATATGAAACTTTCATAAATGTGTTTAGTCATTTTTCTCGAGGGATGTTTCCTGATTAAAATAGGAAAAATTTCTTCTCTGTAGGGAACGGCCTATGAATGTAATAAGAAAAAAAAAGAAACAAAAAAAAAAGAAACAATGTAGGAGATTTATTCGGCCTACATGATGTTAAAACGTGAAAATAAATTTCATGCAGTTAGTCAAATAGATTATACGCCACTACTACTACTACTACGTGCAAAACAAGTTGACATAATTCTCATCCTTATAGATTTCTGCATTTATCTTTGTCTAAATATTCGAATTGTCATACCTTATTATAGACATTTTCTAGCTTAGACCACATATCGTGACTATATCTTAACTATTATTAGTTGGTTCTAAAAATCATATCCTATTCATATCTTATTCATATTCTAGTCATATTCTAGTTATTATTCATAGATCACGTGATCATTTTTACCGCATCGCATTTCCCTTGCCCGGGATGAGTGTAAAAAAAAATCTACTGAATAATTCAATTAATATACTCACACACAGGCTATATTATATATATATTATTAAGTCCAACGAAACACAGTATTATATATTTTTATATATCTAGTTTTTATTTTAGGTCAATATTTTCATTCAATATTATTATATTTTTCTTTTAATACCATAGTAATCTTCTATCTTATTTTTAGGTGTAAATAATACTCCACGTGTTTCTAATTATTATCATTGATTCGCCTAATTATTTTGATCCTATCATAATCTTCAAGTTGTTTCGATAACTTTGATAGCGTTTATCATAAAATGCAGTAATCTGTTTGCTTAGTAAATAAGTTATGTTATTTTTATTGCTTTGCAAGTGATTACGATTGGGATAATATTTTAGGGACACCCTGTATATATATATAAATCCGTATATAGAGACATACATACATACATAATAGGAACGCATTAATTAACCACTATACAAGGAACCAAATATTAAGATAACGACCTATACATTATACATATTATATATACCTATACAAACAAAATATATGTATATATAAATACTTACGAATAAATTAGGAATAGAGAATTTTAGTTGGATAGAATTTGGATGTCATATACTTTTTACAAATGCGTTTCTAGGATAATTTTGTTTGACAATTTAAAGGCAGTTTCGATTGACCATACGCGTTAAGGATTTACTGTATTTAAAAAGTCCCTATTCTGTAAAGATTATTATTTAGAATTAAAAATGAAAATTGTTTTGTTCAAAAATCTTCAACAACAGTTACAACAAGGCACGAGAAATGATGTTCTCCTGTGACTACTTTCGTATATCTAAATTACAATTAAAATAGATTTAAAATCGTATGAAAAAAAGTTAGCAAACCTATGTGTTATAGATAAGTTAATTATGAAAGAAAGTGTGACAGAAAAGGGGCTATAATTAGGTAAATATATTTAGGAACGACGAGAGATAACATTACCTATAGTTAGTCGTATTATTAGATAGACTCCAATGTGATATATACACGCAAAAAAAAAATGATAACTTTGTCTAAAAGTTTACAATACTTTTGAAAGGCTTGACTTTTCATCAGGGTCGTTAGTAATGAAAAAAAAACTTAGTAACAACGTGGCTTTATAATCATTTCAATAAAATCAACGAAAAGAATTGTGTAATGTCTTTCTTTTCGTGTGAAATTTTAGGCCACGTCATATTTCCTATATTATAAACAATTAATATATCCTTTGATCTTGTGCATTCGTTTATCTAACATATAAGAGCTTCCAATATCTCGTGGAGAAATATACGATTACGATAATAACGATGCTAAACCAAATGATTTGACCTTTTCAATTGTACAGAATGAACGAATTAACGTAAACAGCATATATATAATAAATATATATATATATACATATATATTCATCCATGCATGCAAAGGATTAAATTGTCATTACGTTATTTGATGATTATTTTGTAGATGGAATTTAACTCCACGTTAAACTCTTGTACACATACCCATTGCGTTTTCAATTTTTATTATCTTGCGAAGAAAAAAAAATATCGGCTAGTATGCGACAAATATTAGACAATCCATGACATTTCTTATCCCCGCAATAACTCGGATGAGACGACGAGGATTGCAAAAAACATGGAAGAGAAAAGGAAAGAAAAATACAACAAGTAGTTGATAGATTTGTAAAATAAATTTAGTTGCGAAATCGTGCGGTGACGTGCCAAGGGACCATCATGAAGGAACGAAGGAACGAAGAAAAGAAGGAAGAAGGATAATATTTCAAGCGGATTGATTTTTCGTTAATTTTTTATATTTAAGTAACGATCTCGTACGTCTTCCAAACTATCCCACACACAGTTATGTCTATCTTAACGTTCGTGGGATCTCCTGTCTTCTCAAAAACGATTGTTATTCGAATAAAGGAGGATCTTACGATTAATATTTAACTTTTTATTATTATCCAACTTATAATAACATTCCTTTTCTACTATCCTCGTATTATTTCATTTGATTTTACCGCCAATAAATCGATATATAAAATGGAGTCAGTCATGGTATCGAAATTTACGAAAAGTAGCGGTAAATTTTTTTTTACTGGTTGCATATAATAAACATTTTTTTTTTCTATATATTTTTATGTAAACTTTTTAAAAATTATTGTTATTCGAGTAAATGAGGATCTTACGATCAATATTTAATTTTTATTATTATTCAATTGATTATATCAATCCTTTTCTACTATTCTCGTGTTATTTCGTTTGATTTTACCGCCAATAAATCGATATACAAAATGGAGTCAGTCGCGATATTGAAATTAACGAAAAGTCGCGGTAAATTTTTTTTTACAAAAAACATCTTATATACTCTGACATTCTTATATAAACATTTTAAAAATAATAAAAAGGATATGGTAGAAATATGAAAATATTTTTTAAAAATAATTAACTGTGTATCTTATCTTGTGGAAAAAAAAAGAAATGAATATGATTATGCAGTAGTTGACGCATCGTCGATAACGTGTTATCAATATTTTCGTGTGATGAAATATAACATAATGCAATTTGAAGATTCTCATATCATTTCCTTTCACGTGTACGTTTAAATGGAAATTTCCAGTAGTAGACGACAACATAACCTCTTTGTCCGTTTGTTATGTTTTTTGTTACAGAATGATATTGGGGAAAAAATCTCATGGATTCCATTTATGACAATGCAACAAACTATTCGCAGCTGTTTGATAAAAATTTGTCTCGATAAAATTGTACGTGCGATAAGCAAATGTTTTATTCGTCCCATGAGTTATTTGTATTAAATATTATTCATCAAGTTTATAAAACACATTTTTTCCGGTATTTCAAGTACAACGGAAAGGCTTTGTCCTATAACTAATATAACATGTACGGAGTATGTCTATGATAACATCAGAAGAATGCAAACCGTAGAGATGAACAGTGGCAAGGAGGAATCTTTTCCATTTCGTAACCTTAAGGAATTGTACGATGGGTTAGAAAATTTGGTAACATGGCCAAGAGTGACACCGATGAGAGAGATCACCGAATACGTTTATCATGGATTGGAGGTACATCACAAAACATTGAGTTTAAGTAAACTTAAAGCGGACCATGTACCAAAAACTTTGCTTTGTCACGACATGAAAGGTGGTTACCTCCAAGATAGGTAAGATTTCACTTATTTAATGTACTTATACTTATTATAGAATTAATAATTTTGTATTTTATTCAGGTTCATAAATGGTTCTAATTCAAATGAAGAATATTTATTTTATCACTGGAGTATCATAGATACATTCGTTTACTTCAGCCACTATTTTGTAACTATACCACCTTATGGATGGATCAATGCTGCTCATAGCCATGGGGTAAAGGTGTTGGGCACGGTGATAACGGAGCATACCAATGGAGAAGATATTTGGAACTCGATCTTGCACTCTAAGGAAACTATCAAACGTTTTGCCAATGCGCTTGTTCAAATAGCTAAATTTTATAAATTCGAAGGTTGGCTATTGAACGTTGAAAATAAAATTAAACTAGAAGACATTGGTAATCTTGTATATTTTGTCAAATATTTAACTGATAGTATTCACAAAGAAATTATTGATTCTGAAATAATATGGTATGACAGCGTAACGCACACAGGAGAATTAAAATGGCAGGATGAACTTAATATAAAAAACAAGTAATGTTATTTTTTTTAGAATATTACATGTAACTATATGACATCATTTAGAATGATCGATATTAATTAATGTTTTTTTGTAGAGACTTCTTTTTAAGTTGCGATGGAATTTTTTTAAATTACAATTGGACCGATCAGAAATTAATAAATAGTTGTACGCTTGCAAAAGATCTCGAACGTAACATAAAAGACATTTATGTGGGTCTGGACGTTTGGGGTAGAGGTTGTCCCGGAGGCGGTGGTTTCAATTCTGCCCATGTAAATGATTAACATTATTTTTGATATTAATAAAAAAAGGATGGAAGATGAAGGATGAGAAAAGGATATTTTGATACTTTTAGGCACTGGAAAGGATACGCAAACAAAATCTATCGGTTGCCATTTTTGCTCCAGGCTGGACGCATGAATATTTCGGTGCGAAAACCTTTGATCAATTGGAAGATATGTTTTGGGCTCAACTGTTTCCTTTCTTATACGTTCATATTCCAATTTATTACAACGAGAAGTTTAGTACATCTTTTTGTCGGGGCAGCGGCTCGGCCTACTATCGTCGTGGTATTGTAAATAAAAAAAGGCTAACTTTATTATTTTTGTTTATTCTTGTTAGAGTAAAATACTTGTTATTTCATATATTTATTGCTGTTTGATTACAGACGCAGCTCGAGGATTCCAACAAGAAACCATTTTATAACTTGTCCATGCAAAAAGTACAAATTTCCGTGCCTGTGCCGTTTCTCAAAATTATTGCTTTCACGGAAGAGGTCCAATCCGTTAAAGAAAATGAAAATTCTACGAAGAAAAAAATTCTTTACGTGTACGAAACGGAAAAAAGTTTCGTTCGGATTTTAGACAATAACGTAAATTTTCAACCAAAATCAGCAGCCACAAACGCGAACTATTTCGAGTTTTGCAACGAATATTCGTTCGAAGGTGGAGGTTGTCTTAAAGTGATAACTACAAATCCTCTTTACTATCACAGGTAAGTAAATTAACAATAGAATTAGTTTAAATTACAAATGAAATAAAATACAATTTACAGATTATTCCTAGTATACGTCGAGTTTGATCGAGATCTGCAAGGATCCATTGTTTACAAGGCAGAAGAAACGAGCTCAGATGAACCTGTCCTGATATTGGGCAACGATTTAGGCTTGAAATCTATCACGTCTTACGAGAGCTTCGAGTTAGGAGCAGGTTGGAGAAAGTGGTAAGTAAGCTCGAGGAAAAAAAGAAAAAAACCAATAATAGCGGTATTTACAAATGTTCATTTATCCTTTCTTACTTTCTTTTAGCATTTACCTGACCGACCTGAGGACCGTGAACGAGATCGGTGTGAAGTTCTACAGGGAGAATAACTGTTATTTGGGGGAGATCGCGTTGGAAGGGAAACACCGTCGATACGGTGAGTCGATCTTGCTAATCTCGCGTCGTCGCGTTCATTCAACTCTACCTTATTAGCCGCATTACAATGCTGATTCGTTTACACTTGTTTACGGGAACGATAGGTGTGGCGCCTACGCGAAACGAACAACGGTACTCGAGACAAACGGTACAAAGAGCAAAGACAATGCACATACGTCCAAAGAGAATATATATATGTCAAAGTTGAAAGTCTTTAGGGAGATAGGCTTTCGACACCCTTGACCTCGCATTTTAAAGAGAAAAATTCGTTTTATTATTTATGCAAGTGCGCGCGCAAGCAATTAAGCATTGCGACAGAGAAAAGATTTGCGTAATTCGCAAAGAGTAGTTGGTTAAATGTATAAATTATTTTGCATTTGTCGTTTCACTTGAAATACGCAACATGTTTCGTACGTAAGCCTCGAGGAAGGAAGCAGAAGCGTTCGTTCGCTTGCTCGATCGAAAGGAGTACATTAACAACGATTCGTTGAGATTCTAGTGGCAGACCGACCCGAATTACGCTACTCCCTGTCGCAACACAGAGAAAGAGAGAGAAAGAGACCCCGTCCTATGTAATTCGAGAGTGTTCGAGGTGGCGGTCGTACCTTCATTGATATTCCTGCGGTACTTTGCTCGAGTTTTCGCGCCCCAAACCCCCCACCTCTTTCAAATATCGATTCCCGTTCGCCTATTACCACCTAGTTTTGCAAGCAATTTTATTCCAATTTTGATTCAACGATCCCTTGGGATGATGATACAGGTTTATAACCGTAGGCGGGATAAACGGGTAATACTCGATTATGCGTGACCTATAAGTAGATAATCCTTATACTAAGAGACGATGCCGTTTCACGTTTGTAGGATGAGATCAGAATGTTTTCCTGCTTGGCCAAGGCGAGCCAGTTGGGTGTTGTTGATACTCAAGGACGACGGTGGTCAGCGAGAGAAAAAGAGAGAAGTTTATAGTTAAGAGTAGAAAAGAAAATGCGCGTTCACTCTAATCGCATTCCACAATTTTTTTTTTCAAATTCTATCAGGAGAACAAAATATTTGATTACTTCTTATGGGTTGATAATAGAAATCAAAAAATCATTTTCGGTTAATCGGGTTACAACTCGACCGCCACACACGGGTCGGTCACGTTTTACTTTCGCGACGCGATGACGAGATACGGCGCTCCTAGGAACGTCTTACTGGAATGTAAACGTACGCAATCCATTGCGGGGAACGAGGTTCGTTGGTCTTGCACCGGTCAGTTCGTTGGCCTACTCTCTTAACCGTTTCGATCGCACCGATACGACTTCCTTCTCTCTTCTTCTACCCCTCCCTATGCCCCTCCACCAAACAGGTGCTTTCAGAAAATTTTTCTCTTTCTAATTGTAAGATTATTTTCTTATGTTCGATCGTCTCAACACTTGTTGTGTACGCAACGAATCGATATCGAAAGTAAATCCGACGGTGAAATTCTGTTGTCGGTGGTTAACGTAACTACTCCTCGACTTTCCGTGACGTTTCTCTTTGCCTTGCGTCCCCCTCCCCTCCCCCTCCCCTACCCCTTCTTCTTCTCCGTCAAGTGAGCTAGCGATTAGAAACCTTGTATTTCGTTCGTCTCTTTCGGCTCTTTTTTCGTGGTCGCGGTGGTTTTTCAGATGACAAGATTTGATTAAGTTGGAAAGTTCTGGTAGCGTCTAACGTTCAAATAATATTGTACTTTAATACCGTGGGAATAAAAGTAAGCAAGGAAGTCTTTAGGTATTTCAAGGTTGCTTCCGTATTTTCACATAGCGTTCATTTATGAAATCCTATTACGAGTACTTTCACCTCGTCCGATCGGATAATTATCCGGTTAGGACGAGGATGATAGGGTGAAGGGAAGGAAGATTCGTGACAGTGGTACAGTTTTCTGCTCCAATAAAGTCAGCTTCCGTTGGTTGGAGGGAAAACGGCTTGAAGGAACTCGATTTTCCAGTTGGCCGCGCGAATGAACGCGTGCGCGCCTAACTGTAGTATAGCGAAAATTGCATATACCTATTACTACTTGATATGCCACATGTGAACACATTTCAATAAATACTTGTACGTGGAAACTCGTTGCTTAGGTATTCGGGTCGTTACCCGTTTTTTTTTTTATGACGAAATAATCGAGTTACTGGAATATTTCGAATTTAATTGAAAATCAAGTTGGACGATCAATTCGACGCGGCTAAACAATAATAATAATAATATTGAGAACCGCATAAATTTAGTTTGAGTTTAGGTCGATAACCTGGCAAGAAGTTTACCTTCCAATTCTCTGCTTCCCTCGCTTCATTAAAAACACTCCGACTTCTTGGTATTTCCTGTCCGAATGCAACATGACAATTTCCCTTATGTGACGAAACATTAAATTGTAGTTCTAATCCTAACACTGGTTAACACCATTTTGTTAATTACTTGCTCGCTTTGCCAACGCTTTGCTATTCAACGCTTCTTATTTCTTATTTGCATAATTTCTCAGAGTTACGATCGCGCTCGCAAAGAAATGGGAACTCTAAAAAGAAAAAAGGAAAATGCCTCGGTTATTTGCTATAGAAGAAAGAAGAAAAGGTCAGATTATTATTTCATCTCCATGGAATGTACAGCAAAGAACAACAATTCTCATCGGAGCAACGACTCTTGGTCGTCGTCTTCGTTTTCCCACGTCCGGTCGGTTTCTAACGATCGCCACTTTCCTTGAGCGCTTGATTGGCAAAAAGTACCGAATCATGGGGTTAAACTTTCGCTAGCTCTCCTTGGAAACGTTTTAGATAAATGGGATGCCTGGATAATAATTTGAAATGCGCGCAAGTAGGATTCGCTAGCGTTCACGATGTTTGACCTCTCTCTCTCTCTCTCTCTCTCTCTCTCTCTCTCTCTCTCTCTCTCGGTTTAGAAAGGCAGAGAGAAACTTCTGGAAGTTCTCTGTTGGAATAGTTAGCTCCATCTTGTCCTCCGATCGGCATTTCGGAAACTTGAATAATAGTAGTAGTAGCGGCATCATGCTCGTGGAAAAAAAGGTATGAGAATAATAATAAAAGAAGTCAGCCAACGGGAGATATGCTTACCGAGTTTGGTCTCGGGCAAACAACAAACGCAAAGCATGGCGACGTTACTAACATGTTATGGCTTTTATCGCTAGAAGAAAAACTTATTAGACGTGGTTGGGCTAATTGTAGTCTAGGAGTGTGTTAGAACCAGGGCTAACTGCGGAAAGTTATCGCTCGAGTGAGCTTAAACCAACCTGTCGTTACGCGCGAGAACTCGCCTAACGTTTTTCACTGGTAGAACAACAAACGTCCTTTAACCCCAAATTTCTTCTTTGGATTTATTTTTGTTCCTAACCCCCCCCCCCTCTATTGTTTGGTTGTTCTTGGTTTAACGTTAAATCTTCTCGTTGAAGGCGCAGGTTGAAAAGGAGGGAAAGGTGAACGAAGACTGCGTTGTACCTGTGTGTCTACGGTGAGCGGGAAAGCGGGATAGAAAGAGGAAGGGAAAAGAGAGAGAGAGAAAGGTTGCTGCTGGTACAACATTCGCGATTCCTTCTCTTTACCTCTAAACGTTCCCCAGTCACGGTACGGACGTAAGATCGACTGGTCGACTTTGACGTTCACTTGTTTGCCGACTGTTCTCCTCCCTCGTTCTTATTTTTATCAACATTATATTATTCATTTTGACCCTGTCGTGTTGTCATCGGTGTACGCGTGTTATTTTAGTGTTTTTTCAAAAGTGTCTACCCATTCAACAAACTAGGATCATTTCGTTGATCATTCACATTTTGGGATTAAGATTTTGAAGCTAGGAGAAGGTTCAGATTGCTGATTGTCTTGGTACGTTGTTGGCTCGAGATTTTGATACACGTTAGATTGACCTTGCCTCTAAATTACCTCGATTTATACTTTGAAAAAATCTTATGTTATGAGTTTGTAAAAAGAAGATCTCGACACACTTCTTTCTTATTTAATTTACAGATCGTTGCGAGTCAGCGGACTGTGCCAACCGGATCAGCGACTACACCGTGTCTACTGACCTTTCCCGAACAACCTAGCCACGTTAGAAGTAATATAATATATTATAAGAATAAGATCGGAAGTATAGTAGTACCGAGCAACCGATAGAATCCAATTTCGAATTGATTTAATAAAAGAAATATGTAAAGGGAGAGATCGAAGATAGATTGAAGGAATTCCTTCTAACTTTGCTTCGAAATATGATGAAGGACAAAATAAATGACGCAAGTATGGCCTTGGACTCGACCGTCAGGAGTCAGGATTCTAGCGATTCGAACGAATCTAAGGAATTTAGCAATGCCGGTTCTAAGCCGGAAAGTTGCATGGAATCTAAACACTCCAAAGAGATATTGATATCGGATAAACAACATAAACAACAGCAACATCAGCCACATGCTAGACAACAAAACGACGAGGAGGAAACGAAATTGCGTAACGCGCAACACGGAGACGATTCTAATCTTCTCATGTTCACATCTTGCGGTCAATTATTGTTAGGTAAGTTTGAAATAAACTCGAAAGCTTTTTATTCTTTTAATATGATCCTTGAGATATATTAACTAGCGGCACGACATCTTCGTTCTAAAAAAGAAAACGATTTAATTTCTCGTAACACGCATGAGTTTTCATACGATGCTGTTGATCTTAAATAGACTAGAAAAAAAAGAAAAATTCATTAGAAAGACTCGAGAGATGTGCGCGTGTTCTAAGCCCTATGGAATAAAATAGCGTAAAAGTGAAAACATTTCACTTAGAAAGTTATAATAATCGTACACGTTAAGGCCATTAGAATCCGTAAAGATTCGCAAACCGTGACAACAAAAATTGGAATGTCAGAGGGAATTTGTCAGCAATTTTTATCAGAAATGAAAATCTTATTTCAAGAAAAAAAAAGAACAATGTGATCTACTGACGTTGTACTTTTGTACAGGTATCGTCTTGGTCGTGTTCGGTGTTTTGGTATTGGTCCATGGCGCTTCGTTAGGAGGATCAGGTGCAGGATTATGGGCAGGAACAGGTGCATTGGTGGCCGGAGCATTAGGAGTACTTGCAGCTTTGGCTAGTTCATCCGGAAGGACAAATTCTGGATTTTCTACAGCTCATTTAGCTTCAAGCTTGGTCGCTCTTGCGCTTTCCAACATGGCTGCCATCACGGCCCTGACAGCGGTCGTCAGGGACTCTCAAAGGACTCCGGAAACGACCCTTTTTACGCTTCCTGTAAGGATTCTTGGATTCCCCCACTCTTTCTCTCTGCATCGATTAACGTGCCGAGCCCTTATCGATGACCTCCTTTTCCCCTCTCCTCTCGTCCTGATTGGTGAGCAACTCGCAAGGTTTTTTACTTCGAGGTAGTCGGCTCGGCTCGCAAAGGTAGACGCGATCGTTGGAGAAAGTTATCAATGCCAAGGCTAAAATGCGGTCATGAAGCACCATTATGGAATTTCAGAGATAGTCTTGCTAACGTTCAACCCAAAATGGCTGCAAACGAACAAAATGGCAGAGAGAAAGAGAATTTCTCGATCGACCTTACGAAATATAATTCAAATGAAATCATTTTGTTGATTTTATTAGGGCGAAGAGAACAATATATTGGAAATAGAAGGAGGTTGGGCCGGTCTCTTGGCAAGCATAGGTTTGCTGATCGGTAGTGTCGCGGAATTACTCATCTCAGGCTACACCTGTTTGACCTTAACACCAAAACTCTGTAGCTGTTTGAGATCGAATCCAGCTGACGAGATCGGTTGCGTTGATGGTCGACTGAAGACACGTAATATGGTTCAACAATGGGTTGTCGCACAAAATCACGTGCCGAAGAACCAACCGATTTATGTGGTTCAACCGGTGATGCCTGTCCATCCCTTGATACGAGTAAGTATCTTCATTTTCGTATATATTTCTTTTTGAGAATGATGTCGCAACGAACGTACTCGAAAAGATTTTTGGGATGTGTAGGTCAGTGGCACGACTAATTGTATAACTAGAAAGTTCGGACGTCGATTGCCGTAAGGCAAATAAATTCTGATACCACTTTTTCAAGTTTTCAAGTCTTATTTGTTTGTTTTTTCATTCCAGACACCTTACGGAGTACCACCACCACCCGGTGCACCAGGAAAGTATCCAGGAGGATTTATTTCAGCGACACCAATTGCTATACCACCAACACCATACGGCCCAGTCTCCGTAATTTCTCACATGCCGCCTTACGTTCAACGACCACCATCGCAAATGGTGAATGTTCCTAAATATTTTTAGGTATACGCATAACATTGTTAATGTTGCACGAATCGATGCATCTAACGTTTGTCCCCATAGATTCGACTGAAACATAAACGTCACAATCAATCGGAACAAGGGGACACCGTTGAAAGGAAAGGGCGCAAAGAAACGGAAGGAAAAAATGAATTCAAAAGAATATCATCGATAAGTGAAGATCAAGTTGACCTGGCACAGACCTATACCGGTTTAGATAAAAGAATTTCCGAAGAATTTATCTCCATAGCAATGGATCCAGATAGAAAGTCTAAAGCTTCGAGTCATCATGGCAGCGAAGTTGGTATCCCTAAGAATACGTGAAAACTGACCAACTCGATGCTCGATTAAATTCGTTGTGTCGAGTATAAAACGTCGTTGGGATCAAATAATTTCATAGCTTTCTTCGCGTGCATGCGAAAGAAAGAAAAAGAAAGAGAGATTAAGTAAGAAGCAAGAAAGAATTCCATCAGACGGCACACTTAGTTCTCTCTCGCATTTCTTTTTGATACCATCGGTATTATTCCATTTATAAACTTTCCAAAGTACACATAGAAACGTAAATTATTTTCTACATTAGTTATTCGTATTGACGAATTTTTACGTATGTTGATTTAACGACGAAACAATTTCAAGTATTACTATTCCAATTCGATTCTGTCGGTTGCTCGAACAAATGAGATTTTAGATTAGATTTTTTATATCCCAAATCTCTAGTTATTTGTACACCTATCCCTTTTTTTCTTATTTTTTTTTTTACTACGATAGGCATGTACTTAGTTTTGTGTAGATTCTGTCATGTATATACGTTTACAAATGATAATAATAATAATTAATTAATTTTAATTATAGTAATAATGTTGAGATTAATATAATAACGTTAATAATAATTAATTTACAGTGATGATGATGATGATGATGATGATATATAGTTATTTTTATATCTAAACATCATCGAAATGTAGAAAGTTGTTGTCCGTTAATAAAATTTAATAAAATGTGTAGAAAGTTTAAGGAGGAAAAAAAAAACATTTTGGATTTTATTAATCATAATGTTCCTGTTGAAGTACCGTACAATTAATTTCTGGATCGATTGCACATTTTCGATAATCAATATAAAGTTGCTCGATGATTGACAAATTTCTTTTGTAAATTTGACGCAACTCGTTCAATTCTTTTTCGAGATATTTCTTTTCTTTTTCCAAGATACGCGGTACATGCAATTCCTCTTCCTTTCTTTCCTCCGCCAGGGATCGAAATTTATTCAAATATATTCCAAGTTTAGCGTTTTCTTCTTGCAAACGTAACAATTCTTTCTTCAACCATTGTCCTCGCATGAAAACTCGGTGAACGAGTTTTTCTGTTGGGTCAGACTGCTCTGATCTGATCTCGGGGGGTTTCTAAAAATACCAATTAAAGATACAAATCGGTTGTAAATACAAGCAGCCCTCGACTTTTTCTATTTTGCACATTTTTAAAGATAAAAATGTTTCATCCTCTGCGATCGGATGTCCCCTCTCAGGGGACATCAAAATAGTCATCAGATGACTATTCAGATGACACTCAACAAAAGATGATGATTCAACAAAACAGTTTCAGTTTTGCATTAAGGGGTAACACCACTATAGAGCCTGAAAAAGATGTCTTTTTTGGGGAATTTTTTTTGCGAAAACTAAATGAGGAATAGAATTGTTTTTTTTTAGGGTTGGTTAATCATATATGGAACTATGCAAACAAATATTTTGATTGATTTTAGATAAAAAATGGCATCGGTATTCATGGCTGAACCAAACCGTGTATTTTTTTTTTTTGGTAAAACGGGCGGACTCATACCTGGACAACTATAAGATCTAGAATAAAAAACAAAATAAATTCTTAATCTATGTACTATTATCTTGAGAAGTAAATACGGATTTTTCCCTAAGTCAAATTCTGTGAAAATTGCGCAACTTTGAATAAAAAAATCGACTTTTTAACATAAAAAAATGTAGAAAATTGTTTATAAAAAAAGAAGTTTTTATTCAATTAAAAATCGGATATGTATTTCTGTAGAAAATATAACTATTAAACTATCTTCAAAATTTCAAGTCAATCGGTTTAATGATGGTCGAGTTCTGTGTCCGCCAAGTTTTAAAAATGTAGTTTCGAGAAAAACGCGTTTAAAGTTTTGTTATCACTGTTCGAAGCGCTTTGAGACACTTCGTAAAAATAAAATTTCGCCATGTTAAAAATTTTTGTTTGCTTCGGGACTAAGTGCATAATGTTTTTAAATGTCTAAAGTACACTAAGCTAAAAAACAAAAAATCGATTTTTTGAAAATTCTACAGGGGTGTTACCCCTTAAGGCGTGCATCAACGTGTTGTGTTTTACTAATTTAGATAAATACTTTAATCCTTTCAATACGGCCAAAAATACAGTCCGAATGCGCCCCATTATCGAGATCAGTTATTTCTCCTTAAAAATAACTTTTATGCATAAAAGGTTGAAGATCTTCAAGACGCATAAACGTCCCCATAACAGCGCACCATCAATAACAATGATTTCACCATTAAGACGGACTAAGAATCAGTTTTAGGCCTAACTTGGCGTTACTTTTTATCGTAGATATTTTTTAGTAGCTGTGACATAGTGTCTCAGTCGTAATATTAAAAATTTTCCAGACTGGGACAGCACATGTTCCATCCGGTGCGAAAGGGTTAAAACAAAATTTTTGGTGCATATTTTTTTAGATCCCACTACTTTTGAACATTTAACATTCGCACACACTTTCAGGAACCAATTATATGCGAAAGTTGAGGGCTTACTGTAATGTTAATCAAGTTATGAATCGGACAATACCGTAACTAATAATTTAGAAAGTTTCTTTGTATCTTTTCCATCAGCTCTCCAGTCAAAGTCCGGTGAAATCTCATGAAGACGTTTTTTTATTTTCGTTATTCTCCGAGCTGTAGCTTTCGATAATCCTCGAAACTTATCTTTGATATCATTAAGAGCATGAATCGTAACGTCAGTTTCATCCTGTATCTAATAAATCACGTAAATTCATGTAATTATTATCATTAAATCGTATTCTTAATAATATACCATTTGATCGACGACATCTTCTACAATCTCTCGAAAATTTTGCAAATTTTTTTCAAAAATTTCCCGCAGGGCCGTACCACCGTCTTGCACGTAAGGCATTACGTTAAAAACAAATTTCGCGGTATTGGTAATATCACCACAATAAACTCGCTCGATAACTTGTCGTATGCCTGTAATATCCGTCTAAAGGAAATATAGAAGTCTACATTATCGACTGTTTATAGATTAGTTTATTTTGTTACCATCGGTTGGAAACTCAGCTCAGTCGGTGCAATCGAATAGTTTCTTCTTGATGGTGTTCTCTGTACAAAATACAAAAACATGCAAAATACACGCATTCAAATTATTGGTAGGATAAATCAATTAGAGTGGATCAAAAGAAAAAAATATTTAATTGAATTAAATTGAAAAGTACCAAAGTCGATGAAGCAAGGGACCGACAATTTCCTGGACAAATAAAAGATTCAGATCTATTTAATTTATCAACTCCTCTTCTCTTAGACTCCATTGCCTTAAAATTTGTAAAAATAACGATCACGATAATTTAATTTCTATCTTCTTCGATTACATCGAGCACAACTTTTTTATTTTATTTAACGCTGTTTTAATTTATTTAATTATTCTTTCTTAAATTTCATTGAAAAATTTCTACAATGAAGATTTTCTTATTGCATATTTCGTATCTAATTATCTTTTAAAGTTCCTCTTGAATCGAAATTTGATATCGAGAAATATTTTTTAAATACTCGAAACTTTATTTATTGACATATCAAATTGTATAAGTAGACATTTTCACTCATTAGAAAAAAATTACAAAAGGTATAAAATAATAATAATAAAAATATAGATTTCTACATTACCGATTGTACATAAATTAGTTTACTTTTTTACTATCGGTCGGTGCAATCGAATTTTTCCTTCTAGATGACACTCTCTGTACAAAATAGAAAATACACGCATTCAAATTACTCGTAAGATAAATCAATTAGGGTGAATCAAAAAGGAAAGGACATTAATTGAATTAAATTGAAAAGTACGAAAGAAGATGAAGCAACGGACCGACATTTTCCGGTACAAATAAAACTTTCGGATCTATTGAATTTATCAATCCCTCTTTTCTTAGATTTAATTGCATTAGAGTTTGTAGAAATAACAATCACGATAATTTAATTTGTATCTTCTCCAAATACATTCAGCACACCTTTTTTATTTCATACAATGCTGTTTTAATTCATTCAATTATATATATATCAAATTAGATAAATAGATATTTTTACTCATTAGAACAACATCACAAAAATGGTATGTAATAATAGTAAAAAAAAAACAAAAAATAAGATATCCCTAGGATAAAAGGTTTCGAAAGGCGTCATTCCTGGAATGTTTCGAAATGTGCATGGAAATAGGAGCGTGCCGATTTAGGCGATGAATCAGCTCAGAGCATTCATCGTTACGTCGCCATCGAGGCACGACGTAACCATAAAATACATATATATCCCGTATAATAGCTGTTTGATATAATAGGATATAATAGGGGGGGGGAGGGTATATATATATACACGTTATAAAGTGCTAGGTGTAGGCGAGGCGGCATTATTTATGTATGGGAAACGTTTGGTCTACAGATATCGTGGAATCACGAGCTGAGTTGACCCTTTCGCAATGATCGACTGGATTTCCTTGATAACAAGATAATTTTCTTATGGGGTAAGGCCACTTTAGTATCCCAAAAAATATACTTTTTTGTGAATTTTTTTTTTCATGAAAATGTAATTTAAATTGAGTTTGCAAAGGTAAAAGTTTATTGTACATAGGAGATTGACTGTAAAACATCATTTTTATGGAATAATTTATTTAAAAATGGCGGTTGTGCAGCGTTTCTTAGACGACTTATTTTATTTTGAAAGAGTCCATATCAATAGCTACTGTAAATTTTGAATTAGTATCTAAAACATATGACTGTAAAACATCATTTTTATGGAATTATTTATTTAAGAATGGCGACTGTACAGCGTTTCTTAGATAACCTATCTTATTTTGGAAGGGTCCATTGCCGTATCAATAGCTACTGTAAATTTTAAATTAGTATGTAAAACATATAACTGTAAAACATCATTTTTATGGAATTATTTATTTAAAAATGGCGACTGTACAGCGTTTCTTAGATAACCTATTTTATTTTGGAAGGGTCCATGGCCGTATCAATAGCTACTGTAAATTTTAAATTAGTATGTAAAACATATAACTGTAAAACATCATTTTTATGGAATAATTTATTTAAAAATGGCGACTGTACAGCGTTTCTTAGATAACCTANTTATTTTGGAAGGGTCCATGGCCGTATCAATAGCTACTGTAAATTTTAAATTAGTATGTAAAACATATAACTGTAAAACATCATTTTTATGGAATAATTTATTTAAAAATGGCGACTGTACAGCGTTTCTTAGATAACCTATCTTATTTTGGAAGGGTCCATCGCCATATCAATAGCTACTGTAAATTTTGAATTATGAGTCAATATATTTTTTTTTATTGTATATAACAACAGCTAGAAAAGTACGTAGGTTTTTTGTGATATATCGATTTTTGACGGATTGGCGCACTTTTAAAGTCAAATTTGCAAAATTAGCAGAAAAATCGTCAGAAAATTGTTAAGAACAAATGAACTATTCCATATACAAAAAAAAGATTTACGTACTTATTTAGACAATATATTTTTAAAAGAACTAGTTAAAATTTGAAGTGAGTTGGTTGAAAATTGTCCGAGTTGTGGTTGGGGCCAACTTGAAAAAATGCTATTTTGAGACAAACGGGTTTACAGTCTTAAAGTTATTAGAAAGTCATGATGTATTTTGACAAACAAGTACTTGCATTAAGGATGATTTTTTGAGCATAATTTTTTGGGGCTATTTTGGAGATCCTAAGGAACCCATTTAAAAGAATAAAACAAAACAAAAATCGATTAATCTAACAGATGGAAATATTGTCATTTAGGTTATAATTTTTTTCTTTTGATTATGTTAAGTCTGAAGGGCCAGTGGTCGCGTGGCACACAACCCCGTTCTTGCGCCAAACACCTGTCTTTCTTTCAGTAGATACTCAAGTAATGTACTACTACTTCTCTTGTAGCACAAGTATCCAAAGAAGAAGAAGAAGACGACGGCTGGCAAAACGTTGAGCAGAAGGCCTGTCAGCTGCACCGCCAACAGCAGCTGACAACAACAACCAACAACGAATGGTCCGTGTGCTCATCGTTGCTCCCAACTTTTTAATACCTTTTCAAATTCCATATCTTAACCCAACCTCAGTGTTCTTAAATCCAATCTCTTTTTTTCCCTATTTCAGATCGAATTTCAATCAGAACAATTCGTCGGGATATAATCGGGTAATTCGATCATTCTAAACGCGGGACCTAATCGAATATTAGTCGGATGAAATGCGACTAATCGAACCTGAATGCACATAATCGATACCATTTATAAGTTTTCCCTTGAGAAAAAAAAAAAGAAAAAAAAGACAAAATACTTGGATGAATTTTCTATGTGAACTGATTTAGCAAGTTTCATTCTAATTCCCATGGTCTAGTCTGTGTCATCTATATGAACCATTTCAGGTATAAGAAAAAAAAGAGAAAGAAAGGAAAAAGGTAGAAGGGATTTAAGGGACTAGAAAGGAGCCAGATGACCGAACGTACGTGCATGTTGTTACACAGCTGCACACGTTGTGTTGTTTCAGTGTTTGTATCGGTTTGTACCGTCGTCAGACCGTCGTAGTAGTTTCTCTCAACGAAACCATTTCACCGTACCCACCACCTTCGCTCTCCCAGCTTCAGTCCACGTTGAACCGTCGTTCGCGTAACGTCCACTGTCCGACTGATTTGGTTTTTCCCTTTCTATTTCTAAGCCGGTAGTTGTAATAATATTCATCGATATAATTGAACTTCAAAGTTTTAACAAGTGTATCAATCGTTGATTTAAAATCCTATTATGAGTATGATTTCTTTGAGAACGTTATAAACACTAGTGTGAGATATCTCATTGAGAAAAGATTAATTATTATAAAAAAAAAAAAATTGAAGATGATCTCAACGAGGAAATCTATCGTGATATTGTTAACAATTATCACCCTAATCCTACCTATTGATGTAAGTTTTAATTACATTTTTAATAATTTTTTTTTTTAACTTTTGATACTAAACGTTGACTTTGCATACGAATCAACGCAGGATGGGCATACGTTGCATAAGACGGAAACGATGATTCTTTCTCTCGACAACGTGCGATTATAACAATTACAACAACAACTGTTAACATTAGATTTATGGATGTTTTGTTCACTATTTTTTTTTTTTTTTAACTTATGAACATTGAATAAAGTAGTGTGGAAAGAGGGGGAGGAATTAACATTTAAGTTCAAAATTGTTTTTATGGTATTAAAAATATGTATATATATACATATTTTTTTTAAATATAATATTTAAATTTTATTAGGATATTCTGGCTACGTTTTGTTGTTGCTTTGTTATAAAATGTTTATTTAATATAATTCTAAATTATTTTTATTATATATCTTAACTATTATTATTATATAATAATAATAATAAATATTATTATATAAACATTAATAAAAAATTATCAATATATATATTGATAAATGTGAAATATATATATGTTTATATATATAAATAATAAATTATTAAAATAAATAATAATTTTTTTTTATTTTTTAATAAATTTTTTATAATTTTTATTATTAATTATATTATAACATTTATTTTTAATATATAATATAATAATTATATTTTATTGGATTATGATTTTTATTATTATATAAATAATTTTTTAATAACTTTATATTATATTTATAAAATCATATGTACATAAATATAAATAATAAATTAATAAAATAAATAATAATTTATTTTATTATATTTTTATAAATTTTTTAGTAATTTTTATTATTTTATATATTTTATTATATATTTATATTATAATATATTTATATTATAATTTTTATTATATATATAATTTTAGTAACCTTATATTATATATATAAAATTATATGTACATAAATATAAATAATAAATTATTAAAATAAATAATAATTTATTTTATTAAATTTTAAAAATTTTTTTATAATTTTTCATTATTATACATATATAATTTTAATAACTTTATATATTATATATATAAAAAAAAATATAAATATAAATAATAAAATTTATATAATAATAAAATATATAATAATAATAAATATTAATATATAATATATAATATGTAATTATTATATAATAATAACAGTACACAATTACAAAGGAATACATAAAATAATAATACACGAAAAAAAATATAAAAAGCAATCTGAAAAAAACGTATAACTTGAATATATCAAAATAATTGAATTTTAATACAACGCCATCTATTGAAAAATTGCAGTACCTAAAGACCTAGATAACCTCTAAATAATAAATCTTTAAATTAACCATAAAAAATAAAAATAATCGTGATAAAAATTATTCTATATTCTTAGTTGAAAAAAATCACACAAAATAAAAAATATTTTATTAAGTAAAAGTAAATTGCAGTAGTCTCCAAGGTTATTGGAAACCAACAATGTAGCACTGAATTCTTATATATAAAAATAAATATGTAACAAAACAAATTTGAAATTAGTCAAATTGACTCACAGTCCGTAAATTTTAACCTACACGTACAGACAAAAGATCTACTGCTTTGTCTAATTGCTTTGATAATTAATAATATGAGATAAAATAAAGAAAAAAAAAACAAAAAAAAAAAAAGACAAAATGAAATTGGAACTATCTCATAAGGATATTTCCTTCGAAGTGGCGAAAAGGTAAGATCGTTTGTTCAGATAAGAGAGTGGTTCGCATGAAACGCGCATCCCCGTGACGACAATAGGGCCCCGAACCCACACAAAGAAAGAAAGAGAGAAAGAGAATAGGGTTGAACCTTAAGGTCGACCGAGAGAGATCAGGGCTGGTCAAAAGTCTGTGCAATTTCTACTAACGAACCGTGCAACTCGTGGGAGCCGATTCCACAAGTGCTTATATCTTTTAGTTCATTCTTCGTTCATGTGTCTCTTTGCATGCACTTTTACATTTACACACACATACACACACACATACACTCATACACACACACGCACACAACACATGAGATAACTGCCCACGGATTATTTAAACTTTGACTTTTCGTTCGATTTCTGCGTCATTCTTCTAGTCATTATCATTCGAGTCCAATTACATTTTTTTATTGTTGTTGTTGTTGTTGTTGTGAAACATTCTCTTGGAAAAAAAATATATATTTCGTTAAATTTTTTTGAAATCAACTTTTTTTTAATTTCTTTTTTTTTTTTGGCTAGCTTCAACTTGCCCTAGTTTTGTTATTCATGTGCTGGGTTAGAGTTTGAAAGAAATTCATTTAAAAAGGGAGAACTGCATTTAAGGTGTTTATTAAATACCACGGCAAGTTTTATTTAACGAATAGAATATTCTAAACATTCGTATTCCCTTTTATCTCGCTAAAAGAATCGCCTACGACTAGTAATAGTAGTAGTTATTTTTTTCCTTTGAAATAAACACAAGTGCTTACTCATTACTTTGGTCGTTTAAAAAGGTAACACAACAAAAAAAAAGAAAATAAAGTTGGAAACGTTATAATTTTAGTCGGATCTATTGAAGGCCACGATTAGCCACAAATTTTCTCTTCCTTTTCCTCTGTAAAAAATAAAAAAAAAAAGAAGCATACACACACCCATACATATACATACACTAATTACGAGGCTGTTTGCAATTACTTTAGGTCCCTGACACGCGCGCAGGCTCTTGGAAAATCAAATGCAAATGTTCTCTCTTTCTGTTTCTGGTAGGAAACGTTTGAAAAGCTTTTTTTCACCATCTGACCTATATTTTTGCTAGCACCGAAGCTACGAAATTTCTTCTCTCTCTTTTTCTGTCTCGTAAAGTTATAAATCTATTTCTAATATAAGAGAAGAGAAATTCCACCATAGGTCACCTATTTTCCCTTATTATTAACCTCAAATACACGATGCGTCACTATAATGGCTTTTGCAAATGTCATCTCTCTGAACGAAGCGCCACCATACTGGCTTTTGCGAATTTCATCTCTCTGAACGACGCGTCACTATAGTAGCTTTCGCTGATGTTATCTTTTTGAACAACGCGCCACTATTGTGGCTTGCTCTATTATCTCACATGTTCACCGTTTGTGTACCAACTGTATTATTAATTATTAAAGTAAATTGTCAAAGTTAAAGTATGTGTATCATGTTTTTAAGAAAAATTATAATTTAATTATCAAAAATTTAATTCTAATGTAGAAAACAACCATTATTCAACACATATTGTACAGTTTACATAATCGCGCAAAATTCAGCCGTGTCTAAGAGGTTAAATGTGTTCGATGTTTTATATCAAATTTATTTCGATTTGTCTGACTTAAAATTTACAGCTTCACGAACGAATGAAAGAAGGAACGAATGTATCTTTGTTAAACCGTGTAAAAAACTAAGAAAGGATGGTGGGAGGGGGGAAGAGGAAAAGGGGAGGGGGACCGCCTTTAGGTGAATCGATTTGCTATGATTTATGATTTTTTATACCCAAAGTATTTCCCGCCCACTTCTCGTTATTAAGCCAAAGGCGTTCGAAAACAATGGGAAGTTATGAGAGTGTTTCGTAAAGATAATTATCGAAGCAGCTGCTAAGGTATTTCCTTTAACCCTTCGAGCAAACTTGGGGGAAGACCATTTCGATTTTGAATCGTCGATGTAGTAGTAGTAGTAGGGTGAATACTATACTAAGTATATTATAGTAGTCACGATCATACCAATTGAACATGGAAATGGGAAAAATGTTACTTCCTTATCGTGTATTAATCGTGGAAGGGACCAAAGTAACATCCCCCTTTAACGCATTGCACCGGGCCCTTTATTGCACGCGTCGATGAATAAAACTACCAGATAGGGGGAAAAAAAACCAACTCGACTTTTCGATGGTCAAGTCAAACGTTTATTCGAAAAAAAAAAGAAAGAAGAAAAAAAACACTAGAGGAAAGGGAAAAGGAAATAAAACATGCAAAGGAGGGGAGTATATATGTATATATATATATATATATATGATGACAATTACAGCTTCCGGTTTGTATCCGCCCTGCCGGAAGTTCCTATTCATACTCGTCACTGCGAGAGCGTTGCTACTTCCGTTAATCGTCGATACGACAAATTTTCAATCAAACTATACTCGAATTCCTTTAACGTATCGAAATATTATTCTTTTTTTTTCAGTGCTTTGATAATCTTTCAATTTAAATATTTTTTATTATTAATCATGTATTATAAATATTAGTATATATTATTAGAGGGAATTATTAATATTATATATAATATTATAAAATTATATTTAATTATTATTAAATTATTTTTAATTGGTATTAAATAAAATATTAATCCTTTAATGTATTGCAATATCATTTGTTTTAAAGCTTTAATAATTTCCCAATTGAAATATTTTGTATTATCAATTATATATTAAACTAGAATGCTCCGACCACGCATTGCTGTGGTTTTGTTATAAAATATTGATTTAATATAATTCTAAAATATTTAATGCAATCAAATTAATATTCACTAATAGTTTCTAGGAATTCAAATTAGGCATAAAACAACATAAATTTTTAATATATGTATAATATATAAATAATAACATAAAATAATACCACACAATTAGAATGGAATACATGAAATAATAATACAGGAAAAAATATAAAATATAAAATAAAAATATATATTATAATAAAAATGTAAAAAATATAAAAAGTAAGGTTAGTTATGTCATATGTAAATATGAAAAAAAACGTATGACCTGAATATATCAAAATAATTGCGCTAATCAAAATAATATAACGCCATCTATTGAAAACTTACAGTATCTAGAGATCTACATAACCTCTAAATAATAAATTTTTAAATTAGCAATAAAAAATAAAAATAATCTCGATAACAATAATCCTATATTCTAAGTTAAAAAAAAGTCATATGAAATAAAAAAAAATTTATTAAGATCGATTCAGTAGTTTCTGATTAGGGAAATTCCTTTGAATTTATTGCAATATCATTTTTTTTTCACAGTTTTGATAATCTTTCAATTGAAATATTTTGTACATTCAATAAATTAACCCGTATTGGTCGTAAGTCACATGGGAAATGACTTACAAATAAAAATATGTTATTAATAATAAAATAATAAATTATAATCTTATATAATTGTCATGATCGTTCAAAAAGGAAAAAATAAATAATTTCTAATAAATAATGAGTTATTCTTATAATACTAAACAATTTTATTGCATATTTACTGAAATCACTTAAAACTTGTTTACAATTAGTGAGAATCATCAAGATAAAAACCTGACGACCAATAAGAGTTAAATATTAGTATATTATTAGGAAATATGTATAAAGTATATTATGAATCAAACTTTTATTAATATTTCCAATGTAAGTTTTACAAAAACAATCTTTTATACAGTTTTTGAGTTAACTGTAAGAGTTCAATATTTTGTTGAAAGCTTTGATAATCTTCCAATTGAAATATTTTATATTATTATCATTTATATATTAAATATTAGTTATATTATTAGATTGAAACAAAAATGCACTATTATTTCCAATGTTAATTTTACAAAAACAATCTTTTATACAGTTTTTGAGTTAACTGTAAGAGTTCAATATTTTGTTGAAAGCTTTGATAATCTTCCAATTGAAATATTTTGTATTATTATCATTTATATATATTAAATATTAATTATATTATTAGATTGAAACAAAAATGTACTATTATTTCCAATGTTAATTTTACAAAAACAATCTTTTATACAGTTTTTGAATTAACTGTAAGAGTTAAATATTTTTTTTCAGAGCTTTGATAATTTTCAATTGTGTGACACATTTTGTATTATTAATATATTAAATATTAATTATATTAATAAGATGAACCAAATATATAAATTTTACAGAAACAATTCACTATGCAGTTTATAATACAATAAACGTGACAACTTTAGATTCACCCCTTCTAATAGTATTAATGCAATATTATATTTATAAAGTATTAGTATTATTATTATGACGCTATTTTTGATCAATTCGATAACTCGTCTACGTTATCATTCCTCTTTGAAATCGATCGATACGACCTGACACGTATTCTCATTTTTCAGGATACACCTTTCGTTTTTATCTCGTTAAAAGAAATAAGAAATTAATAACGACACGTGCCGAAAACCGGCTGCTAACACCTGCTAACCTACCTTACCCCAACTCCCATACCCATATATTTTTCCAATTCGTTTATTTCTTTGTAGAAATTTGAAAAAAAATATATATTCTAAGAATAAATAAAAAAAGAAAAAAGTAACAGTTCAATGTACTTATTTCGAAGAGGAAAAAAGAATCCACGAGAGAAGGTAACCAATAACGTGAATAAATGAAAAAGGAGGCCATTTCTGTTCTTGCCTTTAGGTTATTTATAACATTTTTCCATGTATTTACGGAAACGAAGAGAAAGAAAGAAAGAAAGGCAGGCGCAAGGTGTTCGCCTCGAAGTCAGGTGCATTTTATTCCTGGACACCTGTTCTTCAACGGTCCAATTTGAATACTAAATTTAGTCGAAGATAAAACTGATCGTATTCACCCCTTTTACGATCAACAACAACAACAAAATGACAATTTATCTAATTTCGCACTAACCTTTTTTTTTCCTTCGATCTCGTTTACTGTGAAGGGTAAGGGGAATGTAGGGAAAGGGAAGTGAACCGTAAGAAAAGAAGGTGGTATTAACCGTCTGTTGTTTTCTGCTTCGATTCCAGGTGACCGAGGGTAGACCACGCATAAGGCATCATAAAGGAGGTTCGCATTGCACCAGATGCGGTCCAGGTTGGGGTGCAACCAGTAGATGTGTTCGTGGTCGTGACACCGAATGTACCAAATGTTTATCTGGCACTTATAGTCCTCATCACAGTACCCAACCCTGCTGGATATGTTCGAGGTGTGGTCCAGGATTGTACGAAGCACATCCGTGTACCGCAAAAACCGACACGGTTTGCGATTCATGTCATCGTGCTGCTCCGGATAATCCGGATTATCATAGGAAATGTAAAAATCGTGGCAACTTTTTCTTGGCACCCGAAGATGCCGAAAATACCGACGAGGAAACTGTATTGATCAATCAACCTGAACAAATATTTCATTTGACAGACAGACAAAAAATTATTGAAAAAGATATCGAAGCTGCTGGATATCATGATTTGCTATTGGATGAAGAATCAACTGATCGTAACGATTACGAAAATTACGATTCCAAATCTCGAACGATGCAAAGGCTTTGAAATTCATTTGGGTGAATTAGGTTAGGTTGAATCAAAAGTTCGTGCGTTTTTCATTTTCAATTAATATTTCCAAAATAAAATTTACAAAAATAATCTACCCCATTATGCACTTGTTTTTCATTAACATTTTCAAAATAAATTTTACAAAAATAAACGACCTCATTATGCAGTTTGTTATACAATAAAACGCACGAAATTTTGTTTCACCCTAATAAAAGGGGGAAAAAAACATAAAAAAAAAAAAAACAATCCTTGTTTACTAGTCAAAACTCAATATGCCAACATATATATGTGTACATATGCATGTGACGATCATAAGTCCAAAGTTCTTCCGAAATTAACTTCGATAAAGTATGAATGTGTGTGTTTTTTTTTTGCACGAATGTCCATTTAAGGGGCACCACTAGTGTGAAATTTTGAAAAAATCGATTTGTTTTCTTGCATGTTTCGATAGTCCCTATACCTTTAAAAATAACATACAAAAATTTAAAGTGCATATCTCAAATAGTTTTTGAATTAGAGTCATCAACTTTGAATTACAAGCAGGCCAAAAATTATCAAATATTCGCGCGAAATTTGAAACGTTTTATTCAAAATTCCGCCATTTTGTTAAATTTCAATTTTTCGTTTCGACCGAGGTTCATGGTACAAAAAATTTCTTCTAGTTTAATAAATTTGTTGGTTTTTTTGATTTCAAGGTTGCTGTAACTACAGCAGTAAGGGGACTTTTTGTTGGGGCCTTGGGAGATTGCAAATAACTCGCTTAATTTTCAATTTTCTGGTCCAAAAATTTAGTCATATATTCATTACATATCCACGAATATCTCCTTAAAAAAATTAAAACATTCCAAGCAGTAGTTTTCTTTAAAAAATATTCTCCAAAATCACCTTTTTTTCAAGCGGTCACACTAGTGGTGCCCCCTACCAATATGGCAGCAGCACGCTTTGTATACTATAGCTATTTTTATTTGATTCATTTTTATAATACTTTGAATAGGTATACAACGGTACTAGCGAATTATCGTATGAGAAAATGATTATGTAAATGATAGAATGTGTACGAACTTTTTTCGTTTATCGATGGCATCATCATACTTTCATTTTATCTTTAATTAGGACGCTTGTAATATCGGTCTTTTGTTTTATATACACGTCTTGTATATAATCACATATTGCATATATTTCTATTTTTAATGTGAATAATGTGAAAATTAAATGGTTTTCATTTTTTTTTTTGTAACTTTTCGAATTAGATTTCATCGCGTTACAACGACAGAAACATCAGCATCGTTTTGTCGATTACAATCCGTCTATTTTAATTTTTTTATTAACAGGTTAAATGCCACGGGGGTCACCGGTGATCGGCACTTAATTTGGCTGTGATGCCATGGGGGCCACCGGTGACCGCCGTGGCCAGATTAATAGACATATATTCCACATCCTGGCGCCACGGACAATCCCGGTAAAATTGGCGTGGCATTCAGCCTGTTAAATAAACGAAACACGCCATTATGGAGAACACGAAAGATTCTAAATTGGTGCCAATATGTTTTTTGTTCTTGCTGATTTACAATGTTAATTAATGGTTATTACGATATGATATATATATCGTGAAAATACACGATATTTTAAGAAAAAATAAAAAAAGATAAAAACACGATCGAAAAATAAATGTTTCTTATAGGTTAGGGTTGCGTAAGTTTATGCACATAACAAGTACCCTAATCGCAAATGGTCGATTATCATTATTGCCAGAAAACAAAATAAAATAAAACCAAATGCACTAGAATCGTAATTAACCCTTAGAGTGCTATGAACGTATATATGCGTTTGGTAAAAATTACCATAGTGCGTCTATTGACGCATATACGTGTTTGTTAATATTAATGAAAAATAATGTAATGTTTATATTAATTAATTAAATTATATTCAGAAATAAAAACTTTAATTAATAAATACAATTTATTATTAGAATCTAGTTAGTAATAAATTATTCCATTTCTACAAAACATTTTAGTTCAAAGTATTTAGCACTCAAAGGGTTAATAATTCTACTTTTTTTTTTAATCATTTCACGTTTTCTTCCTAATCGTTCATACATATACATACGATATATCATTGCAAAAAAAAACGTATATAAATATTAATAAGAAATAAAAGTAGCGTATACTTTTTTTTGTCCTCGTAGATAGGAAAACGCGTATGGGAATTATAACCTATAAAATATTTCACACATCGAATACGCCTAACAATTTAATTATGTGTATATTATTATTGTTACATTTTTTCATTTCATCCCTTAAAACATATTTCAATTCTAAATCGTTCATACTATTATAATAAATTGTTATATTATAAATAGAAACCTCTGATTCGCGAGATATATATATATATATATATATATATATATATTTAAATGAACATTTTATCCAACAATTATAACACACTTTAGATAAAATAAAAAAAAAAAGACTCAATTATTACGAAAAAAAAATTTAAAAAAAAATGAACAATGAATTCTGAAAAAAAAAGAAAAACATTTTCTAAATCTAATTAAATGAACTTACGTAGAAAAATTCGTTGTTCCTATTTACGAAGAGTATGCACTTAAAAAAAAAAAAAAAAACTAATGCCAAAATAAATCATCGTATACATACACAATTATTTAATAATGAATAATTTTTTTTTGGCTTGTACGGAAGCGTTTGTAAAAAAATAAAAAAAGAAAATAAAAAAATCATTCGTTAACCGTCCAGCCAAAAGTCATTGGTGCTTTGCATTATGAGCGCGTACGAATATGGGTATTTTAATACCCCTAACTTTTAATTTATACATAATAAGTCTGTAAATGTAAGTGTAAATGTAAACTTACGATATTATAATGTTAATAATAATAACAATAATAATATTAACAACACACCAGAATGAGTTATCCCTTTTAGTCGCCTCTTACGACAAGCTGGGATTTACTGCGGTCATATTCTTTTACCCCAGACCAGCAGAGGTATAATAAATAATAATTTAATGAACAATAAAGACGGACATGATACTTCAATCATGCTCGTTGTTTTGTTCTCGTCGAAAAGCACGAACAAGAATTACCATTCATCTTGTTTCTTATAGTATCGAGTTCTTCTAACTATTTATGGTACATACACACATATATATATATATATATTTTAAATTTTAAAATATATAAATAAAATTTATAAATAAATTAATAAATAAAAAAGTTTTTAATAAAAATTTAAAATATATATATACATATATTATATTATAACTATATATATTAGGGGATTCCATGTATGTCAATTCTTATATTTTAATTAAAAATTGATTGAATTTATCGGTCCGATATTAAAAATTTGCATAATAGATGAAAAAAGGTTGTTGATAACGAAGTTGATTATGTTATTAATTAAAAATATAAATTTGTTAGAAATTTATTCGTTTGAATTTAAGGTTAGAAAGCGACATTACTTTCCGGTCCACCTAATATATATGTTTATACGTATGTATATTGAAATCAGATAATGTCAAGATTCACCTGGTGAACTTCAACACGTACCAAACACACTACGGTGAAAGACTAAATATTTGAGTTTATTCATACACATTAATATTTCTAACATACACACCATGATTATGCAACAATCTTGACATTAACCAATTTCGGTCTTTTACGGTAATATACAGGGTGATTCACCAGCTCTTGCCACCTAAATATCTCCGAAAGTATGATAGTAGTAAAAAAGTGGATAAGGAAACAATTGCATAAAAAATTCAGGACTACAATATGACATTAGTATTTTTTTGCTAGGTTAAGTCATTTTCGAGATTTATTGATAAACTTTGTTTTTTGAAATATAATGTTATATTTTAATACTTATTTTCGGATAGCGGCTGTCAAGACAAATCCAATGATGTGCAACATTAATATTTTTGAAGGTCAACGAAAATAAAAACTGGTGAACAAGCCGGCCACAATACAGCTCTTCCGCGTCATGGTCGCGTCAGGGTTGCGTCATACTTTAGTTGTTCCGACAACGGACGGTACAGATATTCTCCGAATAGTTTTTATTGGTCATTGTCGGGTTTTGTATTTAATGTTGCACATCATTGGATTTGTCTTGTCAGCCGCTATCCGAAAATAAGTATTTAAATAAATCTGAAATATGACTTAATCTCGCAAAAAGACACTAATGTCATATTGTAGTCCTGAATTTTTCATGCAGCATTTTCCTTATCCATTTTTTTGCTACTTTCATACGTTCGGAGCTATTTAGGTGGCAAGTGCTGGTGAATAACCCTTTTTATATATAGGTTTTTTAATGAAATATATTTGGTTATATTTTTCTTCTTTTTTTTTTCTTGTGTTTTCCTTTTTAGCCTTTTTTTATATAGTTTGGCGTACATCTTATTATTGGTCTCCATCGTATAATAGCATATTTTTTTATTCGTGGACCCATTTGCGCTTTCGGAGTATTTGGCACGGCACGTCACGGCACCCATTGACAATGCTCTCCTCTCTCACTAACGCATTACAGGCTGGTGCAAACTATAAAACATGTGATGCTAAACGAAAGAAAATTGTCAGAAAATAAAACAAACAAACATATTGTAATCAATATAAACATATTTTCAAACTTTTTGTTACTTTTTGTTTTCTTTTTTTATATATATACGGAATATATGAGCCGTTTATTTTGAAAATGGCCTAACTCCATTTGTCAAGTATTATTTTCCGGTTGCACCTGGTTATTGTATAAGATTTTGTATGAAGAAAATGATTAGAAGACGCAATTTTTAAAAAGGTAAAGAATTCTGATGAAGAATCAATAAACTGGTATAAAAATATGTTGGATGCATTTTGTCAGAAATGAAACCGTATCAAATTTTCTATAAGACATCAATGAATGAGAATGAAAATTTGAAAGTCCTGAATTTATTACCACGTCGGGATAGACCAAGAAAATTCGAAAATATTGTATTGACACCACTATATAAAAATATCAGACAAATTACAACGGCAAAATTCAAGGACATAATTGACCTATTACGTTCTATACCACCGGGAACATCATGACTTTTTCAAATCCCTTTCACACACACAAAATGTAGATGAGTAGTAAATTGTTTTGTAGGTTATGTTTGTAATTTTGTACGTTATTTAGTTAAAAAATATTTTGAATCGCATAAATTATGTTTCTGAAGTGTTTTAAAGATATGTAAAATAAATTCAGTATTGTTTTTTTCAATTTGAAGCATCTTAAATTATGTTGAATGGAGTTGGATCTCTTCGAAATTTTTGAACAAATCAAATTGTGGATATTGACAATGGCGCCTAACTCCATTCGTGGTTAGAAAACGCATATTACTTACTTAATAATTGCCACTGTTTTAATAAGAACTATAAATTTAAACCTTTTACATGCACTTAAGCAGTATAATTCGTTAGTATATTTTTAATTGCATTGAAAGGCAAACCCTTCAATATCTCAATTCGAACATAAATGGAGTTAGGCGACTTTCAAAATAAACGGCTTATATCATCATCATTATTATTATTATTATCATTATCATTATTATTATTATATTATATTATATATATTTGTTCAATAATATAAATCAAAGTCGCGCATCTCTAAAACAATGTGTACAGATATATATATATAAACTAAAAAATATAAAATAATCAAATATTACAATAAGCGATTCGCGCTCGTTATTATTTTTCTTGTTTTTTTTTTTTCGCTAGCAGTGCTTGGAAGAAGGAGAAAATATATATATAAATTAGATTTAATAAAGCTAAAGGAACCCTATTTTTTTTTTTAATTCTTTTTTTTTATCGCATAATTTGGAAAATGGAAAAGTATCGAGATTTTTTCTATGTGTGCCCCCTATTACGTAAATAAAATGAAAGAAAAAAAAAACAAAAAAGATAATCAAATATTTATCTCGTGTATGTATACATATATTTATATATATATATATATATGTATATATGTATATGTATATATTATATCGTATATAACCGCGCACGCGAAATTCTCTCACGTACACACAACACGCATTCATTCGTAAATTAACAAATAAAGACATTTAAATATACAATTATCTCGAATATTATCATCATCATCATCATTCATTATAATTTTTGTACCGATATATATATATATATATATTTATATATATATTAACAAATAAACGAACCTCTACTACCATAAACACTTTCAATTTTTGTATAATAAATTTGTTTTCTTTAGAAATGATTTTTTTTTTGTGTTTTCATTAGTGGTTCACACTTGTCAAAAGAAAAAGAAAAAAAAAAAGAAATAAGAGAGCTACATTTTGTTTTTTTTGGTTCTGTTTTTTCGATTATTTGTGATATTTAAAAAAAAAAAATCCATGACTGGCGAATAATGTGATAATCGTTTAATCTTATTCTTTTTTCTCGAGCAGAAATACGAGTATTGTTTTACTCTCCATTGAACTTTTTGCAAAAAAAAATAAGAATAAAAATAATAATAAAAGGAAGAAGTAGAAATGCTCGAAATTAGTAATGAGATTCTGCATGGATATATTTTATACATATATAACACATTGAATACTACTTAATTGGATGGGATATATAGAACGTATCCCCGAATTCGCAAAAAGACAATTTTTCATTTTTTTATTTCCGTTTCCAAAAACAAACTATTTTTTCGTTTGTTTTTGTTGTTGTTGTCGCAATTAAGCTATTCGCAAAAAAAAAAAACATCGCCTGTTTAATACTTATTGTCCACGATTAATATATTTAATTATTCTTTCTTTGCATTTGTTTATCATCATTTCGATTATCGGTTCGAAATTTGTACAGGCTTCATATTATTTCGTTCCTTTTTTTTTTTTAAATATTAACTTCTACGCGACGTAAAACGTTTAAGAAGAAGAAGAAGAAGAAGAAGAAGAAGAAGAAGAAGAAGAATGTAGGCATCTTTTTTTTTCGATTCTGTAAATTACGTAGATCTCCCCCTCCCCTTCCCCCTCTAACTCTCTCTTCGCCGATCATCAAACGCATTTAACTCAATAACTTTGAATAATATATTATAAGTTAAACATTCACATTCAACAGATATGTATCTATACCATTGTACAATATTTATGTGAACTTATGATTAAATATAAAACAAAAAGAAAATATATGCAAAAAAAAAGGGCATCATCGTCATATTGAGAAGAGTAGTGGTGCGCCTTTTGAACAAACGGAAGGAGCATATACGCAATAGGAAAAATTTGATGATATTCTAACCTTAAAAAAAAAATAAAAATAAAAATAAAAAACTACTAAAGGAATTAATTAAAAGGTTCCTTCTCTCGAGGCTTACGAGTAACTGCCGATCTACAATATCTCGCTTACAAACAATCCCTCATTACCACTTTAATGGCCGCACGTCTACGTAGTCAAATGTTGCCAGTGGTTGGCAATATTTTTGAAGAATTAATTTAAACAGCATTAGTAGCATCACACAATTGTGTGAACGAATGCTAAAAATTGGCCCAGCCATCACACACATATTGTGTGAGCAGCCATTAAAGTGTTAACAGGGGGCTTTGCTTCTAATTATTATAATGAAAATTACTTATTTACAAATTGAATAGTAGCTTTACAATCATCTGAATGAATTATCATCGTCTTTCGTAAACTATATTATTCATGTCTCAACGTCGCTTTAAAGCTGCATTTTTTACTTTCCTTTTCCTTTCTCATCATCAACGTCCCACCTCCCTGACTCCTCATCAATCTTTTCTTGGTTATACTCTTTCGACGATATATATTCGTTAACATATATTCACAATCCAACCACGCAGCAAATCTTTCCTAATGCATTTTATCGGTGCATTGTAAATATCACCACCTGTACAATGTACACGCGTCTCTCTATTACATATGTTACTAATGAAATATACATCTCATATAAAAGATTCGTTAAAATTAATTAAAGATCAATCTCTAGTCATGCTTACATGGAAATAGAACTAATTTATTATATTAGCGCTCTCGGGATTATTCAT